CCCTCTGTCAGCTTCCCATTCTGCTTAGCTAAAACATGAATTCTTTTGTTGTTGTTAACAGCTTCTCAATGTTACCCAGGCTAGCCTCAAACCCTTGTACTCAAGGGATCCTCCTGCCTCAGCTTTCTCAGTGGCTGGGTCTGCAGACATGCACCACCACCCCCAACTAAGTATACAATTCTTTTTTTTTTCTTTTGTGGTGGTGGGGATCAAACCTAGGACCTTGTGTATGTTGGGCAAGTGCTCCACCACCGAACAACACCCTAATCCCTTAGCATATAGTTCGGAATTCCAGCTTTTCTTGTCTTGTCATCCTCATCTGAACCTCTTCCTATGGCCTCTTGTTCGTTCAGTTTGTTCCAGATCACTAGGTAATGACTGTGTCTCACCTCTGCCAAAGTGACGCTATACATATTGTTCCCTCTCCTGAGGATGATCTTTCCTCTCTGACTAGGTAATTACTGCTTATCCTTTACCTTTCAGCTCAGGAAGTTCCTCGAGGAACTCTTCAATTACAGAGTTGCATGTGTGTGTTTGATGGAAGTTCTGTGATGGCAGAGACTGGCTGTGTAATTCAGTGGTGATCTCCACAGTGTCTGCACATAACAGGTGCTGCACACACATCGGATGGATGGATGGACAGACAAACAGGGTGGATGGACTGATGGATGAGCTAATGGACAGACAGATGGATAGACAGATAGATGCCTGAGACTTCCCCAATGGAAATAACATTTAAACATATATGTTGAAGTAGAGAGGGAAAAAAATCACACTCAGAGATGCTCGCTTCAATTCCCAGCATCTCTTTTGTTGCAGACTGGATCATATTCATGCATCATCTGCTATAGCAGAAAGGATACTGAATATATTAATTTTCACATTCCTGAATCATGTGATGAATCACACTATTTGTTCAGAAGATAAGAATACATGCAGTCAAGCCCTAACTCTATAAGAATGTGCAGTTTCCTGGAACTCTCAGACAGACTGAGAAAGCCTTAGAACTGGGACCATGATGTATTCAGCTGTAGTTGTGACACTAAGTTCGTGGAGCCCTGGGTTCCCCTGAGTTGGGTCAGGGTGTAGGGGCTGGTGTAAAGAGGAAAAGGGACTGGAAACAGCTACCAGCTGGGCTTGGCAGCCCACCTTCTTTACAACTAGAAAGTTACTACTTTTTCTGCTTTGTACAGTATATTCTTCTCTGCTAGAAGAGGTTGAAAATTACTATTTCAAAGAGTCAGAGATGATTTATTCTATTGCAAGAAAGGGATTAAAGTGAGCTTTTTTGGATGGGGAGATATTGAAGAAAAGTCAAAAAAGTTTTGGCTCTAGCCAGGTTTGATGGCACATGCCTATAATCCCAGCACTCAGGAGGCTGAGGCAGGAGGATTGCCATGAGTTCGAGGCCATCCTGGGCTACATAGTGAGTTCAGGGCTAGCCTACACTATATAGATAAATCCTGTCTCAAAAAAGCTAATCTCAAGTAATACCTATTTACTTTGAAATTTTTTAACCATTTTCCTGGAACTCTTCTATATATTAAATTGATATTTCTGATTTTTAATTTAGTGTTATAACATTTATCATTCCTCCCACATTATTATCATGTTTTTAGGAGTATTAAAACTTGGAAACCAAGCAAACATGATTAAAGCCCTTTCATTGTCATGCTGGAGCACATTCTAACTCCTTTCTCTTCGAGTGTCGTCCTTGGACAAGTAGCATCCTGGTGGACTTACATGAAATGTAAAAGCTCAGGCGTCCCCTCACTGATTTGGAAGCTACATTTTAACAAGATGTCTCGTGTGATTCTTATATGCATTAAGCTTTAAGAAGCACTGGCTTAGCAGACTGTCAAACTCTCGAGGGCTCAGATTCTGTGATGTTACATGTTAACTTGTAGAAGACTGATAACGCATAAATGACTCTTACTAGTAAAGATCAAAGTTATTTTTGTCTGACCAAGAATATAATCCCAAGGGTTATAGTTTATCACTCTGTAGGTTTTAGCCAATTTTGTATCTGATTTAGTAATCTGATTTCAGCTTTTTTTTCACCTCAGTGACTACACATTTTTTTCAGACCCTTCTTTGAACTAGCTTTGCCATCCTGCTGATTGCCTAAATAATGAATTATATAACTCTTTAGCATATATTCAATATATAATTGTATGAGCCATATTTTCAACATGTTAAAAATTACACTTTGATGGCCAGCCTTTTATCATTTAATAGCTCTATGATATTTTGAATGACCATATTTTATCTATGCCTTATTATTAGATATTTAAGATATTTCTGATTTTGCACAATATAAATCTACAGTGAGCATCTTTGGGTGTAAAACTTTTTCTGCCTTTTATTATGATTTTTTAATGCCTTTGATTGTGTTTTCAAGTACAAATTAATGGGTCAAATGGTATTAACATTTTAAAGATGAGCAATAATGGAACCTGTCAAATGGACCGAGATCGGAGGGTCTCCCAAGTGGCAGAAGCAGCTGCAGAGAGGCAGGGACCCAGTGGAGATCTCTGCTGGCTGGGCTGAATATATGATGTGAGAAAGGGTGGAAAGGAGGGAAGGAGACCATGCTGTAAAAGGCCAGGTATCTTGAGTTAGATGCTTTGTGTAAAAGGAAGCCAGTGATAGAGTAAAATGAGAGAAGTGAAATGATGAGACCTTGTTTTAGAAAGACAACTCTTAACAGCAGGGAGGCTCTCCAAGGCTTCCCAAATAGTCCAGTTTGAGTGAAGATTGGGCCTGAACTGGGCAGTAACTGGGGCTAGAAAGCAGAAGCTGGAGAGATGCTTAGAGAGGCACAGAGGCTTGACTAGGGTCACCCTGCTCCTTAGTGGTGGAGACAAACCTGACAGTGCCTCTTGGCCCTCCGTGCCATTCATGCTGCTTGCTATTCTTCCCTTTGTTTTGTTTGTTTCTAACCTAAGATATGACTTCTTAGAACTTCAAAAGACTCAGATGATGTTACTAGAGTTATGATGTGAGAGACTGGGCTCCGACAAAACATAGAGCACACATCCAAAAGGATAAGTGACATCACTAAAAACTAATAAAAATTGAAGCACACATTCCAGGCAAGTGACAGGACCTTCTTGGGGAATTTGCCAAACTAAACTGCAGCAGCTCCTCTGTCTCTGTATCTACACAACCAGGCCTCCAACATGGCTTTGCCTCTATGCAGATCTGTGTCCCTGCAAAGCCATCTGCATTAGCGGAGGGGCTAGACTTTACCACCGTGTAACGCCCCTGAGCTCTTAGCCTGGCTCAACAAGTCACTGTCAGTACGACCAGACTCTAGGCAATTTTGTGGAACCATCATGTTTTCTCTGCCAGATGCCCATTTCATAAAGGAGGAAACAGAAAGTAGTCTCCCGCCTATCCCAGGACCCATCCGGACTGGCTTGAGGCTGGCCTTCCTCCGTTCCCATCGTTCCTCTTGGTTTTAGTGCTTCCAAATTCATCTGGACAAAGCAACTTGAGAAATTCTGCCTGTGGGAGGTATTATTTGATCCACAGCAAGAACCTGAAGACATGAATCTGTCTCCGTTTAAAGACCGGAATCCCTAATGTGAACCACATAAGAAGTAGTGGGTTTAGGAGGACAGATTGTAGAGCTCATTTCTATCCCACCGCCTCCCACATCCAGTATGTGAAAATTCAGTGAGCTTAGGGTATGGACAGAAACTTTTTGCTATGTATATTATACTTCAAGAAATAAGTTTTAAAAAAATGTTTTTAAAAGCCAACCATTTACAACTTCAAAAACAAAATCTCCCATCAACGATGATGCTAACAGGGACACACCTGTCTTGTCGGGGTGGGCTCTCTGCCTGGCTGTGGGAGGGGCTCTACATACATTATCCCCTTGATCCTCTAGGGGAGGCACTGTTCTGTTCTCGATTCACAGAGGTAAAGTAGCTTGCCCAAGTCACCCACCTAGTGAATATTTCCTGCACAGCAGCCCCATTTCTATTCCCACAGGTATCTACTGTGTTTTGAAAGCCATGTTCTCTGATTTGTCCCAATTAAGAAGTCGTTTCTGGTGTGATGTAAAGCTCTGGATACGGAATCCACACATGAAGTTGTGGTGGCCTGTCTGTCTCACTGGGGTCCGTTCACACCACCCCACCCCAGTGTCACACACTCTCTGCTATGCCAGCCCTGGGAATTGATCAAGAAGATAGGGACAGTCACATTTTTTTTTCCTTGTCACCAGGGAAGTGACAATCCACAATCCATTTAATCAACATAGTCTATAATGAAGACTGTCATCAGCCAGATCCTCTGTGGTAGTGGTAGTACACTCAGATATGAACATTTTAGGTTGACTAGCCTTGGGTTCAAATACAGACTGCACTTAAGCCACATGACCCAGAACCATGTCCCCTCTGGACTTCAATGTTGAAGACCTCATCAGGTGATTTATGATTTAGACAAGAGTGCAAAAAAAGCACGTACAGAGCCTGACAGGAACATTTGATAAATGTTAGAGTGAGACTGACAGGCAGGCCTTCAAAATGGAAAAACAGTGCTGGGCAGCATCAGGTCAAGATTGTGCCCAGTCAGTGCTTGGGCTTGAGCATTGGACTTGAGTTGGGACGTGACCCTAACACAGTTCAATTCTTTTTTCATCCCTTCCCCTCCCCACACCCCTCCCTCCATCTCTTGGCCCCTTTCCCTTCTGCAAAGGGAAATCATAATTTCCTTTATCTGTCTTTTATTTTGCTCTGTATTTATATTTGGAGTTTCTCGTGTAAGAGAAACCATATGATATTTAAGTTTCTGTGACTGATTTATTTTATTTAACATTATAGTCTCACAGTGTATCCATTTTCCTACAGATGACTTGGGTCTACTTTCTTTATGGCAGAGTAATATTCCATTGACTTCATGATATTTTAATCAGGGTTGTTGTCATCACTATCCTTTCAAGATCTGGGTCTTGGGTTTCATGTTTTTACTTTTGCATTGCCTCCTAGGTGGTCTTTGAGGCCTTGCACAATCTGGAGCCCCGAGGCTATGTTGTGGGATGGATCATCGCCATAAGTTTGCTGGTGGGAATCCTCATCTTCCTGCTGCTAGCAGTGCTTCTGTGGAAGGTGAGTGTTGCAGTCACAGGTCTCCATGGAATTTCCACTACAGATGCCCAGCTCTCCTGCCTCCTAGAGTGGAAACACCTTGGAAGAGCTTCCTGTTGGAGCTGCCTTCATGGTGCAGGTACAGGGGAGGTCATTGTCCCCTCCAAGCAAGGAATGGAGTCTTGGTTCTTCTTGAAGAACCCATTCACTGCCTAAGGATTTGGGCCAGTTTACAGAGAGACAGAGCATGAGAACAAAAGACTCAGTCTCCTCTTAACACCAAGAAGTTACACCAGTCCTGATGTAGGGTGCTGGGAACCTAACTTTAGAATAAGCTTGAGGTGGATAACATCTCCAGTAAGTGATTTACCACTTATTTGAAGAAACAATATGAAAGGGAACTCTAGAGCAATTCTTTCTTCTTTCCCTTCATGGAATAGGAGCAATTTCTTCCCAGAAGACTTAGGTAATAGGGATGGCTACCGATCTAGAGCACTGCCTGGGACGCTGCAGCTCTCCCAACCCCACATGGGTCACTCTGGCTACTCCCACCATGAAGGTAGAATTGCCCTGCCCCATCACCAGGGCATGCCTGGTCACTCTTTTGTCTTACCTAAAGCATCACACTTGCAAGGACAGAGGGTGTCTTCACCCAGTCTTCTTTGCATCATGCTCCCCAACATCAGAAGTCCTTTTACTTCAGAGCCTCTGTATTCACAAATGCTGGTATCAGAGTTATTATCTGATGAAGGTCTGTCTCTTCCACTGGGTAGTAATGGTTCAGGTGAGTGGGGTATATGGCTATCCTTGTTTCTACTTTGTCCCCAGCTCTAAAACAGCACCAGGGACACTACTGGGACATTCTAACCCCAAAGCCCATGCTTCTCCAGTATTTACATCTCACATGCAAATAGAAAGAACCTCTGAGATTATTATGGACAGATATCTTAAACTTAAATACTTAATTTCTTTGGGATTACCAAATAATTTGCACACATTGATCAGGCATAATGTAGTAATAAAGGAAGAAGTTGTAAAACACCCAGGAGCTTATATCCCAGAAATAGCCACAATGAGAGTGGGATTGTCTCCTTTTTGGCCTTTTATCTGCATATATAAACATAAAGCAGGCATTTAGGATCAACTTATTTTTTGAATAGTGTGTTAGTTTTCCAATACTGTACTTAGTATATTTTAGGTGAAATACCTCTAAATCTAAAGCAATTAGTTCAGTTATTAATCTGGAAGAAATATAGTAAATTTCATAGTAAGAAGTCTAGAAACATGCAAAAATAATGTGTTTGTTGTACTTTTCTTAGATTAACAGTTGGATCCATTACTTTAAATTTGGAGGTACTTTGCATGAAAAGGTATCCGGAATTTGAAGAAATATGTACAGTATGTTATTTGAAAATAAGTTTACTTATATTCGTCTGATTTTAAGACATCTTACCTGCTATTTTGTAACCTGTTTTTCCCTGAACACAATACTGTGAGCCTCTTTCCATGTTCTGCCCATTTCCAGCTGAACTTTAAGCTGCAGACTATCTGCTGTTTATTTTCACAGTGCCCTGCTGCTGGAATTTAGGTTGCTCCTGGTTGCACACTTCTTATAACAATGCCACAGTGAATAACCTTGGAGCCAAGTATTTTCACAAATCCTTCATTATATCCTTAGAATGAAACCCTAGGAATGGAGTCACCAAATTGTTTATCTTATATTGAAAATTGCCCTCTAGAAAGGTTATATCAATTCACCCTCCTATTAACAGTGTAAAAAAAAAAAAAGTGTCCATTTTCCTGTATATTTGCCAACAGTGAATATCATCTTTTTTAATCTGCCAATTTGTTGTTTATTTATACTGCATTGTCAGATAGGTTATTAATTCTCTCTGTTCTCCAATTCCAACTACTTCCTGCTGAGAGGGCCTCTGGTCTGTGGGTGGAGAACAAAGCCTGCTCAGTGTGTGAAATCTGAAAGACAGGCTTTTGCTGAGCAGTGAGGGCTTTGGGTTGTGTGTGTGTGTTTGTGTGTGTGTGTGTGTGTGTGTGTGTGTGTGTTTTCCTTCTGCCTTTATATGACCTCTTGAAAAGAGACAGTGTTCTTTCTCTATGGCTAGCTATGTGGGACCAGACAGGGACACAAAGCAGGAAGGCCAAGCCCTGCTACCCTCTGTGGCCACCCCACCCATCTCATCTCCTGTACACAGTCTCCAGCCTGCTCGTACCTGCCATCTGCTTTGCTTTGCTTTTGTTGTGTTTGCTTAAAGAAAGTGTGGTGGCCAGAACCCTGAGTTTACCCAGCTAAGTGGCATCCAAAATGGTAGGATCTGAGAAGCAGGTATCACTCTCTTTGAGACTTTGACAAAAAACAGGGTGACTGCAGTCAGTGTGGCCCTTAAGGGTCACCCCATATACCTTAACACAGACAAGGTCTCACTTTGTGGAAGGAAAGCTTTGAGGAAGCTGTCTCATGAGGCTGCATGGGTCAGGCTGCTCTGCTAGTCCTAAAACAGCAGTTTTTCCTTCCAACCCTGCAACCCTTCTTAATGAATACTCATTCTGGCCCAAGCACTAGATGATGCGTTAGGATGCGTCAGAGACTGTGTCCCTGCCCTGCCCTTGAACTTTGGCCTCTTAGCATATAGGCTGGTAATGTAACAAGGGATGCAAATGCTGTGCAGTAACTGCCTTGGAAAGGAGAAGGCACCGTGGAACCCCCTCCCTCATCCCCAGTGGAGAAGGAAAGACCACCAGTACAGTGCAGTGGATGAGAGCTCAGGGTTGGGGGGCTGGGTAGACAGGTCCATGCCAGCAGTGAGACCTTCAGAGAGTTGCTTAGCTTCTGTAACCCTCAGTTTCCTCCTCTGTAAAAAAGGAGGCCATTGCTTTTAGCTTAATATGTAGATGTTATGCAGCAAAATACTCTGCACTTTGCTTAGCACATAGACACAGAGGTCACAGAACTTTTCACCAATAAGGTATCATTCAGGTCTGAATTTGGGTTTGGTTTGAGTTTTTCAGGCAGGCAAGGGCAGAGGGATGAGTAATCCATCGAGAGGGAAGAAGACATGAGAGAATCAGCAGTTTGTGGGGAGTAGCATGTGAGATCTCTCCTGGCAGGCAGCCAGTGTCTGAAGTGACACAGTCTACTACAGTCACACTGGCCCTGCTCACCAGGACGAAGCAGAGGCATGTGAGGTCTATAAGCAGAGCAGTAATGAGAACACATCTGTCTCAAAAGAGATCCGTGACATCTAAGGGTAAGGGCAGTCACTGTGGTGGGGAGGAAGAGTCAAAGTTAGAACAGGCAGGGTTTGGTGAGCAGTTGGACTTGAGAGCTTAAGCAGAAAGAGTAGCAAAGTCTCCCTGATTTTAGCTTAGACGATGGATGGCTGCCCTTGAGGATGGGAAAGGAGGACTGGAAGACCTTTTGGAGGAGGAGGGGCTTGGTGTTGGGCTTTCCAACTGTGTGGTGCCTACAGGAGCCCAAGAGATGGGCTGGGCTTAAAACATCCCCTGTCACCTTTGTCCAGTAGGGGGAAGATTAACAGAAGGACATTTCTGTCATCTAACTGGCCTGGGCAACTTTCTCTTCAGTTTCCAGAGCAGTGCTTACTCATCTCAGAGGCCATTTTTTCAGTTGCAGAAAAAAACAGAGATCCATTCACAGCTGAGATATATTAGATAGATAGATAGATAGATAGATAGATAGATCACTTTTTCTTTACAAGCCCCTTATCTCTACTCTTTTGCCCACCTGTGTCAAGCTTCTCCAAAGTACACTGGCTTTCCCTGTGCTTCCCTACACATAGACACCTCAAAAGCTTCTAGCCTCAGACACAGAAGAGTCAGCCACCTCTGATTCGCTGGTCTACATGTCTAGGAGAGAGATCTGTCTGGCCCAGGTGGAATCGATGTCTGCCATCATTAACTGTGGCTCGAGGCAGGAGTTGACAGGGAGAAAATCCACCTAGGTTTCCCAGCTTGGGTCACTTGTCTCTCACAGACCCAGAATGCTCAGGGTATAGTGGGAGAAAGATGCAGGATGGCGCTATGGTGGAGGGGGTGGGGGATCTCTCAGGAAAGAGAGAAACTAGACAGATACCCCAAAGGGAGTCATTCCAGTAGGATACCATGGTCATTGTTGGTGCTGCTCCTTAAATTGCAGGCCTTTATATCATCTCAGTCAGCTATACTGTGTAACAAATTGCCTCTGAATTGACTGGCTTGAAACAACCATTGCATGATATCTTATAAATGCATGGATCAGGGATTCAGGAAGGTTTGGCTATTGAGTCTTCTGCTCCACGTGGCACTGAGTGGGGTCTCTTAGTGGAATTTACCTTATGGATATGATGGTGTCCAGAGTCCAAGACAGCTCCACTCATGTGCCTGGAATCTTGGTGGAGATGGCTAAAAGCTGGACTTAGTGGACCCTCCCCTCATCATATAGACTCCACACCCCTCTGTGTGGTCCTTTCAGCAGAGTGATATGACTTTATGTGGTGGCTGAGGCTCTGAGAGAGCACACTCAAAGTCCTCTAACAGGCCAGCCCAGTGCAGGCTCAGGCTCTTCTACCATGTACTGTAGGCCAAAGCAGTTACACAGCAGCCCAGGTTCAAAGGAGGGAGAAACTACCCAGCTTCTCAATGGGAGAAATGATAAAGGCTTTGTGGCCATCCTTTATGTGCCACATACAAGATATTCAGCAAGATGAACAAAATATTTTTTTAAAGTCACTGTTACAAAGGAAGTCACCTAACTAGAAGTTTCGTTTTGTTTTAAAGTAAATGTTACCTCATCTGTCTTTCATAATGTCATAGATAAAATCACAATTTAATTCCTTTGGGGAAAAGAGCATATCTGGGCAGTGCATTGTGGGGAGTCTATTCAGGCACAGCTTTAAGGGAGTTAAGGAGCTAGGCAGAGGGGGTTATTTAGGAAAAAGGCTATTATAATGACTTTATAAGAGCTTGAAAGGTACAAATGAAATATAAAATTATTTTAAAGAACTACA